CATGCAGGTGCACAGCTACCCCCCCCCTCCGCCCCAGGCATACACATGCACACACACACACAAGCCCATAGGTGCACACACACCCATTAAGGACTGCTAGAATACTATGAAATTAGTTACCGGCATAATAGTGCCACCTGCTGAACACAGGTACTAAAAGGCCAATTACTAACCTCTTATTGAAAGGCTGCCTTAGTCACAAAAGCCTCAGAGGGCTCTCTGGCCCTCCATTGGAATAGATTAACTTGGAGTTTATAACTAACAAAAGGAGGACTCAACAAGTGGGTGTAGTCAAGGAGACAGTCAACCTGGCCCAGGAGGCTGCTCAGTTCCACATAAAGCAGCAGGTGCCCCCTTTGGGAGAAATGACTTCCTATTCCACTCTGAAGCACAGCCACTAGTTCAGTGGGGCCGATGACTCACTGAGCTCCTTTACAGTGCCCATACCTGGTTCTCTGAGGGTTAGGCTAAGCAAAAAGCTGATGATACCCACTGGGTGGCAGCAGCTATCTTGCCCTAAAGACAACTGTGCTCAATAGTTTCATGTCAACTTGACACAAGCTAAAATCACCCGAGAGGAGGGAAAGTCAATTAAGAAAATGCCTCCATAAGATCAGGCTCTAGGCAAGCCTGTAGGATATTTCTTAACTAGTGATTGATCGGGGAGGGCCAAGCCCATTGTGGGTGGTGCCATCCCTGGGCTTGGTGGTCCTGGGTTCTATAAGAAAGCAGGCTGAGCAAGCCATTGGAAGCAAGCCAGTAAGCAGCACTCTTCCATGGCCTCTGCATCAGCTCCTGCCTCCAGGTTCCTGCCCTGTTTGAGTTCCTGTCCTGACTTCCTTTGATGATGAACAGTGATATGGACGGGTAAGCCAAATAAACCCTCTCCTCCTCAAGTTAGTGTGGTCATGGTGTTTATCACAGCAATAGTAACCCTAACTAAGACAATAATTCTGGCTGCCTGACTACACAGTCAAAGTTGAAAGGTCTGACATACCACTTGGAAGATTATGTACTGAGAGACTCAAGACACTCTCCAGGGAGCTGGAAACTGTCGGCCTACTGACAGAGTAGTCCTGTTTACTCATGAAGATACCTATCATACAGGATGTAGTCTGATATGAATAGCTACACTCAAGCTCCTAATCAAGCCTACACATAGGGTGTGAAAACACATGTGGTATCATGAACTGATTGAGCACCAAGTTTTAAAGACCACAGGTCTCTAAAGCAGAAGCCACCACGGCATCCCAGCCTGTTGTGGAATATTTGTCTACTGTAAAGATGTGTCTCTGCCTATGGCATTTTCTGACTGGTTTAATAGTTAAATGGCCAATAGCTAGTTAGGAGAGAATAGGCAGGACTTCCGGGCAAAGAGAGAGAAATTGGGAGGAGGAATCTAGACATTTCACCAGCAGACTCAGAGCAAGTAGGATGTACCATACTAAGAGGTAACCGAGCCAAATGGCACAATGTAGATTAAAAAAAATGTGTTAGTTGAGTTATAAGAAAGAGCTGGTTGGGCAAAAGCCTGAGCTAAGGGCAAGCTTTCATAATTAATAGTAAATCTCCAGGTCATTATTTGTGGGTTGGCGGTCCAAAGACAGTCCAACAAGAAAGCCTGCTGCACCAGGTTCCTGCCAAAAGCTGGCCTACTTGCTTTGAGGAGTAAGGAATCCTCCATTGGGCATTGACTGCCTGCTCCTAAGACACCGAGTCCACTGCTGTCCTCATCAGTCCTTACTGCTGCTGTCACCCTCTCAAGTTACAGAAAGGCTGCAGCTCTGGCTCAGGGACTCTGGATAAACCACTGTGGTCCTGACAATTAATGGCATCTTACCAGTTTTCCAAACCATCTAGTCCGACGGTGCTACACCTTTTTGTCACATGGTCGTCTAACAATGGGCCAACAGTCAAGGTAATAACAGACCACCCAAGCTCCCATCACCCACAAACAACTGATATTGTCAAGTATTGGACAGTTTCCTCAGAAGCCAACTTAAAAGGTTTGACTCGACCCCCATCACCTCCTCCTGGCCTACACACTTTAGACAACAGTCTGGTCCTTATGCACTCATCCCCACAAAACTTCATCTCCTCTTAACTATCAACTATCAGAAAAAAAGGAGTGGAGCTATAAAACGCTGCTTAGGAGAACTGGGGTTTCCGTGACCATGGTATGTCTTTCTTCTTAGAGACACTCTAGATCAGCAGGGTAAGGAAAGGTGACAATACTCAAATTTAATTCTAGTTTCATCTCCTGGATTGTCTAACTGGAGCTAAATGGCCTAGGACATAAACACAATGACACTTAGCTGAGTACAAGTCTCCCCACAATGCCTACCTGTGTCAGAGAGAAGACACAATAGGTCTCCATGAGTTTTCTAACAATGCCTGTGGTAATAAGGTCTGGATATAAACAGGTTACAAGGCAAACAGAAACTGGTATTGGACACACTACCATCATGGGCAGAGTTATGGACAGAAACAACCTCAACACCTGAGGAAGAAAGACATTAGAGTTCTGGAGATGCACAGAGAATGGAAACATTAATTCTCTCTTTGTCCCCTAAGTCAAACCCCAAAGCCTGGCAACATTCAGATGGGCCACTTACATTAAGTGGCAGCCTATGACAGTAACTCAACCTGTAGCTGGAAACAGAAAAACTCATGTGGATGGACTGGATGGACATGGACAGTCTTGAGCTGCTCTCATGTGGTTGATGACATCAGTACCAACTCCCCAAAAATCAGCTCCCTGGTATGTGTGCACAGATGGCACAATTTTCTGTTTATCTCACTCTATAGAGTGCATCATGTACTCTTCTCTAAAGTACTAGGGACCTTAGTTATGCCCATACAGTCACTGGGCTTCAACTACTCAATGATACTGCCTAATCCAATTAAATGATGATCCAAATCAAACTGAAACCAAATGCCCTGCATCTCTTTAGGTATTGTGTTAGTATATAAGGAATAGGCTACTGAATGTCTCTCCGTTAGACATGGGAGGTGCACCATTTTAACGGAGTGTTGTAATTATTGGCAATGGTACCAAAGATCAGAATCAACCTAAACTGCTATGCACAGATCTTAATGGGTAGTTTATTGCCCTTAGACCACATTTCATGCTGTCTGAAATAAGACTTCTCGTCCCTCATCAGGACTTAATCATAGGAGGCAAAATCCAGGACCCTGAAGGACATAGCTGAGGTGAATACCAAAGGCTGGCATCATCCTGCTGCTTGGAGTCTCATTGAGAGTAGCCACAGTTAATTACTGTATGAGACAAACTGAACAGATCTGGTCTCTGCCTCTGTCAGCTATGCTAATTGGAGTAGCTAACAGAGTTGTATGTTAACATGAAACATCTTCTAGAAGTCAAGGCAGTTTGTGACTGAGGGGTAATAAAGCTTGTTAGGAGAGGAAGTCCTCCCTCAATGTCTTATATATCCACACGTGGGCCAAGAATGCACCTAGAATGCCCTGACTGCATTTTACCTGGGCCGTTTCTTAGGGCTGTGCTTGCAACAAGCAAACCCGAGATGGATGGCAATGTCTCCCGCTAGAACAGGGTTACATACTGCTTGTGGTAAAACAGATTTCCCAAACTTGTCATTCCTTGGACCTTATGCAAGCCACTGCAGGTGCAGTCATCTCTTCCGGCATGGCCCGTCATCCAGTGGGACTCGGCAGGGAGTGAGGGAACCTAACTCCAGGGATGCTGACACCTAGTCCGCTTCCTGCAATAGTCTTCCGAGTCTAACATTTCCCAGCAGCCATGAAACAGCAGTGTTTCGCAGCTAACTTATTAATTTCCAGGGAGAGTGGCCCTGGGAGTGTGTTTGCTTGGTTTCTTTTTGTTCAATAAGTTCCATTTGTGAAACCTTCTACACTAAGTTTGTTTCTCTTTGGTAAGACAGAGAAAATAGAACATTCCTTTTAGCCAAAGATCAAGTTACTCTACGATGGGCTTAGCCTCAGCTTTAACTCAGCCTCAAGCCAGCATCTGTATCATACAAAATAAAGCCTTCTAGAAATTAATTCTTTTCTCACAGTACCACACCAGGCCTGTTGCGGGGAATCTGTGCAACCATTCCTTGATACCCAAATTGTCTTTATAGGATTAAAGACCCTAAGTTTTTTTTTTTCCTTTGAAAACTAGGCCTTGGGAAATTAAGTACTATGAATTTACTATTTTCTGAGGAAAGTTCAAAGCACCTCTGGGCGCCACCATTTGAAAACCAAGGTAGCCTAGAAGACGTGAGAACCTCTTCTGCAAACCCTGAGACCCATCAGAGCAAACCTATTCTTCTTCTCAGAGACTGGACTTACAGAGAAGCGGCCCCTCGCCTCCATCCCACCTCCACCTCCATCTCCATCCCACCCCACCCCACCCCACCCCCCAAAAACCCTCAGGAACTATCACAGACTTGTCACGCCTCCAGTGAGTCCCGCCCCCTTCGTGCCCTCAGGCCAATCAGAGGGAGGCATCCCTCCCTCTCAGTTGCCATGGTGCCCGCCAAGTCCCGTCCGCCCCTTACCAGATGTGCGCCGGCTGGTCCAGCCGGTGGAAGCGGGTGGCGAAGGACAGCAGCGTCACCACGGCCAGCGTGGCCCACCGGCCTGCCGCCTCCAAGTGCCGCGAGCTCCAAGCAGGCCGTTTGAGCCTCCGTGCTGCAACCGGGGGGACCGTGTCCCGGCCCACGGCCCTGACAGCCTGCGGCGCGCAGCGGCCCCTCCGGGGACGCAGCTCGGAACCCGCTAGGCCGCCGCCTATGGCAGGCGGCATCCTCCCCTTTCTGAGGATTACCCTCCGGACCGGAGGCGCGCTGGGTCTTGCCCGCAGCCCCGTCAAGGAGTCATAGGAGGGCGGCTCGAGGTGCCCTGGGATTTGTAGTTCCCTCCGCTTACCGCGGAGCGCCAGGCCCCGGGCTCTGGGCGGGGCGTGAATGGTAGTGGCCGCCCGGACCGCTAAGAAGCGGCCTGAGGAGTAGAGCATGGCGGGAGGCGGAGGGACGCTGAAGGACCCAGAGACCCGGGACGGCTCACGAACTACAACTCCCAGCAGCGCCGGGGGCGGGGGCGGGGCCCAGACGACGGCGGGGACCCCATCTAGTCCGACCCTCGCTCTTTGGACCCCGCTAGGCCTCAGTCATCTTCCGGTCCCGAGAGCTGACTTTCTTGGCTGGCCGACGTGCGAGATGCAAGCCGGGAAGGTCTGTGCCGCGCCTCCGGGGTTCGGGGTCGCTGCTTAGAAACACGGAGAAGAGCGGCGCGGGGTGGGGGGGGTGGGGTGCGGAGAGCGCGCCTCGCCGCACGGCCCCACAACGACTCCCGGCATGCTGTGCGCCGGGCCCCTCTGCACCTGCGCGCTGGCCGCCGAGCGCCAAGGAGTCCAGATTGAGTCGGGCAGGCTGAGCTGCGTGGCGTCCTGAGTGGCGTCCAGTGAGGGCGCTTCCCTACTCCGTGTGTACAGACCTCATGTGGGACTTGCAAACGTTTGCAGTTCCGCGGTGCCCTGCGTGCACCCCTCGGCCGGCCGGCCTGTTGGTGCAGGCATGCACCAAAGGCTCGATGTGACACTTTCCGTCGTTAACAATCGCTTGGGAGTGGCTTCCCAGCCCAGGTCTTTAATTTTGTCTTTGGTTTTCGTTGGTTTGGTTTTAAGAAACAAGGTCTTGTTATGTAGTCCAACCTGACTTTGAACTCCCGACTCGTCCTGCCTTCGCCTTCCAAGTCGCGTCTGGCGCCTTCCTGGTTTAAATCGTACTTCTCTAGTCCTGTGTTTTTAAGCCATTGGTGGAATGGGGTTGAGAATATTTTATAAGAGACTCTGTTGAGTTTCATGCATAAAGTTTGAGGCCCGTTGTGCGGGAAGGTGATACATTAGATGCAACGGACATCAGGTTAATATTGTATAGCTTTTCAACATACAAATGTGATTTTCGGGATTTTAATCATGCAAGAAATGGTATAAAAACAGCTGGGGGGAGGTGTAGCTCTGAAGTACACCTAGCATGGGCTGAATCTCCCACAACTGCAAAACAGCAAATAAATTTAAAATAGCCAGAAGAGTCAAAATGCACATTTGAGTTGGAAACACAGTTTTCTTCCAGGTGCACTGATTAAATGGACATTCTGCTAGATAGTAAAATGTAACTGTGCAAATGTAAACATCACCGGATGGTTTGCAGTTGGTGCTTAGCTGTTATTTTTCTTCCCGTGATTTCCTTATCTGTGGTCAACCTTGGTGTACCTGGAAATTTTCAGAGCCAAAGTTTTGAATGGCAAGCCTTTCTGAGTGGTGTGGTGAAATCTCACGCAGCAGAGGGCAGTGAATCGCCCCTCTGTCCAGTATATCCATGCTATGTACACTACCCTCCTATTAGCCACTTAATAGATGCTTTAGTGGTTAGGCTGCCCAGATAATACAGTGCTTGTGTGAGTAACCCTTGTTTTACATACTGTTGGCCTCGAGGCTCAAGTAGTGATCTCAGCAATCTTACTATAGTAAGTCATAGTAAATTATTAAAACTACTCTATATCATTATTATTGGTAATCTCTTATCATGTCTAATTTATAAATTAAACCTTAGGTATGTATGTGATGGTTGGTGTTAGTTTGAAAGGATCTAGGCCCACATAGGAGACCAGCCTCCAGACACACTTTTGAGAGAGTTTCTAAATTAGGCTAACCGCCGGCCATATCTGTAAAGGATTATCTTTATCAGATTAATTGACGTGGGAGGGTGACACACTGGGTTGGGTCTGGGCCCAGACAAAGGGGGAAGTTAGCTGAGCAGCAATACACATTCACTCTTCTGTTTTTATGCTATGGGTATGGTAGTACCAGCTCTTTCAGGCTACTGTCTTGATTGACCCTCCTCGCCCCCCCCCCCCATGATGGACTGTATCTTGAATTATAAGCCAAAATAAACCGTTTTTCTTTGGGCTACCTTTGTCGGGGTATTTTATCATCGCAACAGGAAAAGAAACTAAGGTGATTTATAAGAAAAAAAATACTAGTTATGGGGTGTGGGTAGGTACATGGTTTCCGGCATCCACGGGAGGTCTTTGAAGGCATAACCTGAAGTTTAAGACTATGGTGTGTAGTTACCACTAGATAAGAACGGAAATTACCTAAGATATTTGGTTTCCTCCTTAAGGGCCATCGGGAGAGTAGTAGCGGTTACACAGCTCTCTGGTCACCCTTGGTACAGTCGGTGTATAACACACATTACACAAGCATTCTTCAGCAATTCTGATCATATCCACCACTCTGTCATGGTCAGTGTCTCACAGTAACCCTGATAACCAGCCCACGATCACCAAGCTGTAGCTAAATGCCACTGGTCCAAACTCACAATTTAAAGTGCAGTTTCTAAACCAAATACATATATATCACGTTCTCATCCTTGTAAGGTCGAAAAGTTAAGTAGAACACTCATAAGGGAGGGGCCATTGGTGCTGTGAAAGCAGACAGGGCCCTTGTGAGCCTCCAGTTCGCAGCCTCGCCTTTGGACAGATGGGTGCATCTGCCATCTATTCTTAGAGGCCATCTGAGAATGGAGCTTCAAGGTGACAGACAGCAGAGCATCAATAAGTAAGAAGCCTGGTCTCTACCAGGGGCGAAAGGGACTTCTGTCATCCTTTTAGGGTGGCCCTTTGTTTTATAAACAGAGGAGCTGAACAGAGAAAGCGGGGATTTGTCCCAGTCACACACCGCTGCTTCCTGGCCCAGTCTGGACTCTGAGTCTGTCCACTTTGAGCTCATTTCACCATAGACTGTTTTACCTCAGAGCCAGGCTACACTGTATGCCTGATTGCCAAACTTTCCCAACCAAGAACAAGAGAAACCTCCCACAAGATGAAGAGATAGGTTTTCTGACCAGAGTCCAGGATCCTCTGGGGCCTGTTTAGCCTGCTTTCCCATTGGCTCCTGGGACCCACCCCTTTGGGTTCCTCCCCTTGCCTCACGGCTCTCTGAGAGAAGACGTTCCTTGGGAGGCAACAGCACTATGACTGACAAGGTAAGGAAGGCTAGCACTTGAAAGCTGCTTCCTCTGGAGCGACACTTGTACCTCAGGAACTCACAGTATAACTAGGACCCAAGACAAGCCTGAGTGGCCGAGGTGCATGCCCCAGTAAGGAGTCCCAGTGCAAGAAACTGATGCCTAGAGCCTCTTGCCTGGGGGCTGGTGCCTGCTTCCAGCAGGCCCCCACGGCCGGAAACCCAAGCTTAAGTTAATGTCCACCCTCATCCTCTCTCTCCTCAGCCAGTCCTCTACTCCTATTTCCGAAGCTCCTGTTCATGGAGAGTTCGAATCGGTAAGAGCTCAGCTTCTGGAGGGGTGGGATGGGGGGTGGGACGGGACAGAAGACTTCATTCCCCTCCACCACCTCCCAGCAGCCAGCATCCCTGTTCTGGGGCCTCTGTCTCTGAATGGCACTTCCACCCAGAAAGTCCCACAAGGAGACAGTGGCAGTGGGAGGAAGGGGGTGGTTCATCCCCTCAGGTGTGCTGCTTCCGTCACACGGCGCTCCAAAGCCCCTTAGCAACCGGGCCCAGCGTAGGTTCACAAGATCCAGAGGTCCCTGGTAACTGGCAGGGCAGCAGCTGGCCTCCCTCTGTTTTTATTTGATCTGGCTAATCAAACCGAACTGTTTGGAGCTGGCCACAGGCTTGGGGAGAGCAGGAACTAGGGCCTTCTGCTTCAGGCCGGGGCTGACCCTTCCCTCCTCCAGTGAGCACAGCTGTTGGCAAAGGTCACCGTCACAGCACTGCGTACCAGAGGGCTCTGTGCCCCGGGGTTTCTGTGCGCGTGACTCCCTTTCCACCTGCGTGATCATAGGAGGGAGAGACTCTTAGTGTCCCCATTGTACAGACGAGACAACTGAGGCACAGAAGGTTAAGTAATTTGCCCTCAATCGTGCTGCTAAGAGGAAAACCTGCCGTTTGAACTATGCAGTCTGGCTCAAGTCCATGTCCATTTGCTTGGACTTGGCACCAGCAATTGGACAAAGAACCTTGACCATGCTAAGCTCATATCCTATCCTTTTAGTAAGCTCAGCCCCTAGCCAGATCCCACTCTTGCCACTGCTGCACAGTGCTGCCTGTCACACTGGGGAAACTGAGGCAGAGAAACTCATTATTTCGGAGGCCATACGCCTAACAATTGAATGTGGTAGGGCTCGCACCAGTCTTGCCCTACCTGCTAAGCCTTCACTGGTGGCTCTCACCTGTCCACAGTCCTTTCCTGGACCCCAGAGGCTCTACCTTGACTGAGCCGGAAGCCACAGCAGCCTTTGTAAAGCATACACGCTTTGGCCTCTCTGCCTCTCTCTCGGCCTAAATTACCTTCATTCCAACGTAGAGCTGACCAGCAGGGAGGAGGCCCTTGGCATTGCCCTGGGAGGGCTGTCTTTGAGAGTCTAGCCAGAAGGCATCCCCTAACTCCGCTCTGGTCTCTCCCAGCTCTGGCACTGAAAGGCATCGACTACGAGACGGTGCCCATCAACCTCGTAAAGGATGGGGGCCAGCAGGTAAGGAAGCTGCCCCGGACCCACAGTATGAGAATTGGACCTAGAAGAGGTACCAGATGGAGCACTGGCCGTGCCCTGGAGGGAAGCCAGCATTTCCTGGTTCCTGTGACTGGGGAGCCTTGGGACTAGGATCAGTGCCTGACTTTATGAAGGCAGGTGGTAATGGGACCTGGCCCTATCCTAGACCCTCTCAATGGATGACTGAGGTAGGAGCTGACTTGGTAGCCACATTGACGGGTACAGGAAGAAGCCGGGCGGTGGTGGCACATGCCCTTAATTCCAGCACTTGGGATTAAAGTGCTGGGATTTGGATCTCTGAGTTCCGGGACAGCCAGGGTTACACAGAGAAACCCTGTCTCAAAAAAGAAATGGGGTGAGGAGCTGGTTTAGCAGGTAAAACCATAAAGCCAGACCACTGGGTAAAACTTGTACGTTAGGGGGTCTAGGATACTGCATGGATCCCCAGAGATTAGCCTGGCTTTAGGAACCAAGTCCTTCTCCGAGGATGAGGAAATAGGGATTGGCGGTAGGCCTACCGTTTTCCTACTTGCTTGGTTCTGCTTTAGACAACTCAAGCTAGGACACCTAGTCCACCATGGCCTTGTCTCCACAGTTCTCTGAGGATTTTCAGACCCTGAATCCCATGAAGCAAGTGCCAGCCCTGAAGATTGATGGAATCGTCATTGGCCAGTCGGTGAGTAGAGGGCACGGGAGTGGCCGAGTTCTGAATGAGAGGACCTGACAGCTCTTCCTAACGCACAAGTGGCTAGACACCGAGCATCATAGGTACTCACTGAGTGTACAGCAGAGGGAGGAGAGAGGAGGCCGGATAGTGGAGGACCACGTTCAAAGTCCCCAACGGACCTCTACAGTGCTTCAGTTGAGGGGGGCGGAGGGGTAGTGGCGGTACCATGGGGAAGAGGTAGTTCGCTGGCCTCTGCCCTCTGGTCCAGGGATCCCAAGCCCTCTCCCTGCCTCAATGTTCCCTCTGGACAGCTGGCCATCATGGAGTACCTGGAAGAGACGCGACCCACCCCACGTCTCCTGCCTCAGGACCCACAGAAAAAAGCCATCGTGCGCATGATCTCCGACCTCATCGCTAGTGGCATCCAGCCCCTTCAGGTTGGCACGCTTACATTTGCACTCTTGTACGCCTCTCGCTCATCCTTCACACTCACTGTGAGAAGGGTGGGGGGAGCTTGTGGGTGGGGGGAGGGGGGGAGCAAAGAAAAGCTCTCGGGGGCCTTGGCCTAGCCCACATGGCAGAAGCGGGGAGGAATCCAGAAGTAGGGGCTCCAAGTCTGCTCCTAGGCCTAGGAGCACAGACATGTTTGAGGCAGGGAAAGAGGCAGGGTAGCCGAGGTGCAGCCTCCAGCTCCATCCTGGGCAGCTCCTGCCCATCTTCCCTGTGCCTTGCTTTACCACATTTGCTTTACTGCGCTTCATAGATAATGGAGTTTTAGGTGTTTATTTAGTTCGTCACAAGTTAAAGGGTTATGGTAGCCCTTCACTGAGCAGGTCTATTGGTGTCATTTTTCTTTTTCTTTCTTTCTTTCTTTCTTTCTTTCTTTCTTTCTTTCTTTCTTTCTTTCTTTCTTTCTTTCTTTCTTTCTCTTTCTTTCTTTCTTCTTTCTTTCTTCTTTCTTTCTTTCTTCCTTTCTTTCTTCCTTCCTTCCTTCTTTCTTT